TTTATTTTGAGTGTATGAGTGTATTGCCTGCATGTATGTAAGTGCACCCGTGTCATGCAATGCCCACAGAGGTCAGAAGAGGGCATCGCATCCCCTGGAACTGGAGTAGAGGACAGTTGTTAGCTACCATGTGGGTGCTGGGAATTGAACCCAGGTCCTCTGCAAGAGCAGCCAGTGCTTTTAACTGCTGAGCCATCTCTCCAGCTCCTAAAATACTTTTAAGTAAGAAAACCAACCTATGAAATAAATGAGGAAAAGCATATAACTAACACATTTTCTTGATTATCCTACAAATGCTGAGCAAGTTCTACACAAAACTTCGGAAACAAAACAGAAAACGAGAGCCTTACACATAAGGCTTTGTCACTTTTTTTTTTTTTTCCAGAAATGCTGATTTAAGCACTTTAGGACAAATATACATGGCAACATATAACATCAAGATGGTAGGAAGGGGGCTGGGCGTGTGGTCGGGTGACAGAACACTTGCCTAACTCAGGCCCATGGTTCCATGCCTAGCACTGAGGAAAACAAAGGCTCAGATTTTCAGTGATAGAATTTTGGGACCAGATACTTCAGGTAAAGAAGTGACAAGAAATTTTCAGAGATGCTGTTTTTCTAATATATGATGCACATCCTAGGAATGAAAACTTTCATACTAAATTGTATGGGTATGAAAATCCTTTGTCAGGACACACTCCTGGGTGTAGTCAGCAAACACTGTGACTATATTTACCACCGTTATCTCCCCTCCAGAAGCCTTCCTTGTATCCCCCCTACCAGGCTGGGCACGCCTGGTATGATTTCTAAACTCTGCACTCTGCAGCCTTTTTCACAATTACAACCAAACATATACTTCTGTGACTTAAAAAAAAACTGTATGTTCCAGAGTCCCAGAGCTCCAGGAGTCCTGATCAGCACTGTCCTGTGCCTCCAATACAATACTCAACATGGCAATGATCCAGCCTGTCTGTACATGGCCTGTACTCTGTGGCCAGAGAGCCTAGGAGATGCATCTAAACTTCAGCCTTTGGGCTGCATGTGCCCCAGAATAATCATGAATGCAGCCTAGCACAAAACCAAGAACTTACTTAAAACTATGAGGGTTCCTAAAGGCAAGCTATCATAGCTTTGGAAAGCACTATGCAAGGTGCTAAGGGGGACTATCAACCAATGGTCCAACACCGCTTCAAGAACAAATAACCACGTCAATGACCTGCACAGCATATGACACTGGTGCAGTAGTGGCACTTTTATCTTGGGGGCAATCAACAGCTACCTAATTGTACTAAAAGTCCATTAAATGAGAGGAAACTCATGGGTGGTACTGTAAACATAGCCAAATACACATGGCTGGAGAGGTGATAGATCGTAGAGAAAACCCCAAAACGGTCACTTCCCTAGACTAATATAAAATTTCTTATTGTGTGCAAAATATGTATCCCTATATTTACAGACAAATATCCCAGTCACCACTCATCAAAGAAGCATCTTCTGCACCAGACAGAGACTATTACAGAGTACCACAATTGGTCACATACACATTGTCTGTGAATTGCCCAAGCCTATGTGGCACATCTACAATGCAACCTCTACATACACCTAAGGCTCACGGAACATAGAACAAGGGGTAAAGAAGACAATAATGAATATATCAATTCTCATTAATGAAGCTCCCTCATGCAACAGATGGCCAGGAACACAAAAGGCCATAAACGACCAAGCGTAGTGACTTAAGAGTTTGAAGAACGCTGGTTCGTGGACAGGACTCCTCTATTAAACTACACACGCCCTGAACTCAGGGACCATTACAGATGAGGAGGTGGAAGATTGTAAGAGTCAGGGAGGAGGTACATGATCACGTGGAAATAGAGTCCAGACAAGCTCCTGGGACCCTGCTCATATGAACCTACAGCAATGTTATCAGCATGCACAGGACTCATGCAAACTTAGACAAAAACCCAGCATAGAACTGGGGAAATGGACAGCTGACCTCAATCTTAGCTGAAGAAATATCAACAACTTATCACTGCTGGGTGAGGAAGAGCTGATCTTCCTAAAGCAAGAGACTCTAGATAGGCTGACTAGACCTCAGTGGATGGACTTACACTGAGGGATGACTGGGGACACTAACTTGACCCAACAGGCCTTAAGACAAATGACAGAATGTATGAATTCCAGTGGAGGGAGGGGTTATAGGACAGTGCAGTGGAGAAGGGGGTATAAAGATGATTAAGACTGACTGGAATATTCTGTGTGAAATACACAAAAATTCAATTAAAAAAAGCATCAAAATTTTCAAAAACCCTCTGAGGGCTGGGCTTGTTTGGAGGTTTTTCAGTACTTGATTATGAGGTTCCTGAGCTTGAACTCTTTAGACGACAATGTCCTGTCACAGGGTTAAAAGGTTGGAAATGCCTAGGAAATGACAGGTGTCAAAAACTGGCTGAGACAAAAATCCCAGCACAGACATGGGAAGTGGGAAAAAACCCATCCCTGTGTGAGGAACTATTCAAAACTGATGGCTGCTGGGAAGGAGAGTCAGTCTCTCTTAAGGGTGAGACTCTTGGTAGGTTGACCAGGCTCCATCCACACCAAGGACATTTGGGGACACAAAGTTGACTTTATAGGCCTTATTTTATATATAAGAGAACATGAATTGGATGGGGGTAATAAGGGGAGTGCAGATGGGGAGGGGAGGTAAATACTGTAAAAACGTATTCTGTTAAATTCGCAAAAATTCAATAAAAAAAGGGAAAGAGCGTCTGGCTGACAATCGGACATAAAGGCACTCTTTTTT